CCTTAACATTAAACTCCACTGGGAGCAGAGGAACAGGAGCAAATAATTTCCCTTTCCTAAGGAGGAGCAGCTATTTAAGAGGTAATTGGGAGCGTGGGAGGAAAACCTGCACATCCTGCTCTTACGGCAGGGGTTTAAGCAGGGCAGTTGTTATCTCCTCACCCAACCCAGGCAGCAGCTCCCTGGTGCCATGCTCCTGCCGGATCAGTGTCGCATGGCACAGACCGAGCATGGCACAGGGGGCAGCTGCCAGCCACGGCACAGACCCACAGCCGGGCTGCCGCACACCCGAGCTGCTGCTGGAGCTCAGCAGCCGCACAGATCAGGCAGGAGCTACACGCACCGCAGGTGTGTGCTGAGCCCCTCTGCGTGCAGGACGCAGGAGAAAACAGGGAGAGGCACAAATACTGCTTGTCCTGGGCATCGCCCAGAGGGACCACCGCCTCCCCAGGACAGAGCAGCATGGAGGGCCCTGCACCAGCACCCAGTCTGCAGCGCCCACAGAGCCCCTGCTGCCTTTTCCAGCCGGGCCCCAGCTCCACCAGCCTGGTTTCTCACCTGCCCACGGTGAACATCTCATAGTGCCCTGACACAGACCCTGCACTGCAGAGGCTCTGCTGGCTCCTGCCAGCTCAGGCTGTGCCATTCCTATGTGCACAGGAGCAGGCAGCCGTGTTGCTCTCAGGGAAGCGGCCATCTCTCTCCTGATCCTCTCTGTCTGGCTCTGCAAATTGGTGCCTTCTCCTGCCGGCGCCCACCACAGCTCGTCCCTGGCTGCACCAGGAGCCCTGCATGTGAGACACCCGACTGCCACTGCACCAGGATGGCAGCTCTGGAGCCACAGCACTCCCAGCCAGGCCACACGTCCCATCAGCTCTGCCACCTCTCCTGGTTCCCAGGCATGCCTGCAGTACAGCACTCGGGGCCCACACTGCTTTGGTCACCCCTGTGCCGTTCTGGTCAGTCCAGAGCACAAGAAACTGACTCACAGCTCTGACGCTAGATGGCAGAGACCAAGACCCCAAGGCTCGGGCCTACCCCTCCCCAGGCCTGGCCTCTCCCTGCCCTACCTCTGCGGCTCTGGCTCTCAGTCAGCAGCCTTGGGGACGTTCCAAATGCATCCCGGGAAGGCAGCCGGAGCAGCTCTGCCCTTCTGAACCTCAACACTGAGCACCAGCCACACTAACACATGATACAAGTACAAGTGGATGGCAGCAAGATCTTCCTTCTCCCTGGTAAGCCATTAACCTTTCAGATGACAGCCTCGCAAACTAAATGACTGAACAATTCCCAGGGTCAGTGCGAATCTACATTTTCAAAACCTGACATCAACAAGTAAAAGTTGTGACTGAATCCCGGTCTCTCCGAGAGGAGGATTAAACGCCTGTGACACATCATCTGCAATCAGAGTGCTCCATTTCCCAAAGTATCTGTCACAGATTGATAACATCCACACAAAAAGTTAAGGGCAATTATGTCTGTCACTGTAAAACACACTTCAGCAGCACTGACTGACATCTTGCTTGCAGCTGACAAACTGCGAGAGGGCTGTTTGAATGACTGAGGTGGAGGCTCCTGCAGCACCTCAGGATGCAAAACATGCTCCCAAACCACAGGAACCCTGAACGCTCACAAAGCACCGCGGCTGTGACGGGGCCATCGTGCAGGCAGCCAGAGGGCAAAGTGGTTTGGGTTGGCTCTGTGCATGCCCACATAAGGCAGGGACTTGTCCCCAAAAGGCTGGAGCTGGGCTCGTGAAGGGGAGAGCACCACAAATGCTGCTCCAGGAGAGGCTGAGCCCCAGGGCACTGCTCGAACGCTCCTGATGTGCTGTTCTCCACGACCCCGGCCATGCACTGGCCATCGCTGACCCACAGGCCGGGTGAAGTAAACGCGGGCAAGGAGTCACCGGTCACCAGCACCACTTTTGGGGAGGATCACCTGCTCGTTCCCAATGCCATGGCACCACGCAGCATCGCACCACGCAGCATCGCACAGCAGAGGCACTGAGGGAAGGGACATTAAACTCCCACTGGTGACTCCAGTCAGTAAAAGCAGTTCCTTAGCAGCAGTCTTCTAGGATGGGAAACTGCAAGTGCATTTCTCCAGGCTGCCATTAGTGCCAAGAAGCTGTCGCAGAACTTGGAGAGAAAAGACAGTAAAGCAGCTTGATGCCTTGCACAACGGCATGGCTGTGCTTCACAGCACAGCATGTCATCCTCTCTGGGACATGCGAGGGCTGCTGTCGGAGAACGCTGCACTAGATGCCTGCAGTAGGAACACCAGGGAGAAGAAATGGCTGAAAAATAACACATGCAGTCTAGCATGGCGATCAAACAAAGCCCCTCCTCGTGCAGCGCTGGCTGCAAGCCATAGCCCCACGACAAGCAGCAAAGGCAGCACTGCTGAGGTGCACAAACTGTGGGGTCAAATCTCCGAACAGGACAGACTCTGATGTGCCACCATCCCCTGCCATCAGGAACTCACCAGGGACCAGAGGAGGAAACATGGCTGCCGCAGAAAAAAACAGCTCTCCCTGTAAAAAGTCCATCCATTTAGGAAGGTGTTGCTGTGCAGAAGCTCACTGGGGACTTTTACTGGTTTAATTTATATCCAGTGCTAGTGATGCTCTGAAGCACCCAGGCACAGCCTCCTGATTTAGAATTATTTCATAAGGCAGTAACCAAGGAGGACAGCTTGAACACCCGAGCAGCCCAACAGCAGAATCTGCACAGCGCTCTCTATTCGGCACTGCTCTCCCATTCTCTCTTATCAGAACAACTCGCTGCTGCTCCTGTCAGGACACATTCGCAGGGAATAGAGCAGCAAACATTCTGCCAGGGCAATCTCATCTCTCCACAGTGACGTAAAAATAAGGTTACTCGTGACTACAATCTTCCACAAACATTAAGTGTTGAGTAACTTACCACATTGCTGATCAAGTATTAGAAAAGGCTTTTGAGCAGTATACGTTTGCCATAATAATGAAATATTTGCAGGATGCACCTTTATATACATTTCTAGTTCTTAAAAAATATATTGGATCATAAATAATCAAAGTAAAAAAAAGCAGACATGAAAGATGCTTTGAATGATCAGGCTGGCGGTGTAAAAGTTCCCTGTAAATCACGCGCCAGGCACGAGAGTGGAGCTTGCTACAGACAGGTGGTTTTTACTAGGAGGCATTAATGTAACATTCAATTATTCCACTGCATACTGGCTGTTTTAACTCAGCCAAATTAGAATACATTTTATATTGACTATTTTGACATTTGCTTTATTTGGCAAGTAAAACAAAACTGATCCAATTTCCTTGCAGCCATTGTAAACCATAAACTGTACAACAAGAGGTTATAAAATATATAAGCCTTGTAAACACTTCTTTCAGACCGTTGCTGATGCTCCAAGCTCTAATTCTGGCCCCGCTCCCAACAGCTCTGAGGCTGCTCTGCAGCCTTCCCTGCCCACAAAGTGACCCTTCCACACTGGTGATTAAGAGGCGCCATTGACATTCTCTTGCTATGATAATTTTTTGTCTTTACTGTGGAAACCTGCCCAGGCAGGAACTGCTTGCAGACAGAAAAGGAAGATCTGTGCTCTGAAATCAAGACATCTTTTCCCTGATCTTGCACAGCCTGTGCTAGCGTGTAGCTCGTGTCCAGCCCAGCTTCAAAACAACGCAGGAGCTTCCCGTGGGACGGGCTGAAATCTCAGCAAGACGCCGGCTTTTCATCTCCTTTGTCTCCGTCTCCGTTTGAGAAGCAAGACAGCACCATGACAGCGCAGGACTGCGAGCAGCGTGCCACGGCACTGCAGGCGGCTGCAAAAGGCTCAGTGAAAAATGCCCGCGTGCTCTGGAGAGCTCCCAGAGCCACCGCAAGACAGCAGACACACATCTGGGTCACGGGTGAAGGCTCACACACACCTGCCTTGAAAAGACACCTGAGAGCCTTTTCGGAACAGTCTGCAGCAGTTTAAAAGTATCACTCTCTGAAACAACCTCTACACCAAGCCTCTGAAGGACACAAGTATTTTCCACCCATAGGATACAGTGACCTCTGTGTACAAACCGATCCCCTGGAGTTCCTCTTCGCTGTCTCCTTCAGAATTCCAGCTCCAGTTATCGTAATACTGCAAAACATATCTGCAGTGTACCAAGCACCTGGGGCAAAGATAGGTGTTTGTGTAATTAAGCAAAAGCCCAGGGGGACCATGGAGCATGTGCTCTCCCCTGGTCATAGCCCAGCCCGAGGTCAGTCAGGCCCATCACCCTGGATGCAGCACTTCCACAGCAAACGCCAGGAGCACGAGGCGCTCAGTTTAACCTCTGTCTGGGCTGTTTTGATGCTTAAGATCACTCGGTTTTGTCCAGAGAAATCCAGCATTCGAGCTATCAACACAGGACTACTGCTATAGGCCAGCACGCACACAAGTGCATACATTTACACACACAAATACTGTCTATAACACCTGTAACTACACACCAGTGTGTCCCCAGAGCTCTGCCAGTCGCCGCAGGATGAGTGCTCTGCTCAGCACACTCAGCGCCAGCTGCAGGCCTGGAGCAAAGCACTTGGGTCCAAGAAAAGAAAAAACAAGGCCAGTACTCCAAACCACGAGTGGACTGATTCTGGGGAACCAGCAAAACCCAACCGCTAATGCATTGAAATCCGTATGAATGTTTTTTCCTTTGGTCAAGGACAGCAACAGGCTTGCCTGCAGCCCTGGCCCACCCTCCAGGGTGACTCACATGTACTTGCTGGAATCCACATCCCGCACAGCTTAAAGCAAAGGTGCAGTTTCCTGTTTCCCTTCCTCTGCAGGCTTCTTTGTCCTCACTTCCCTACCTGTATGTCTTCACACAGCGACAGCCAAAGGCACTTCCAGTAGGCAGATACTTGAAGGAAGGACACATCCTCTCATCACCAGATCATGATCACTGTTCCCACTGACAGGGCACCCTGGGCTTGGTCAGCACCCACACACACGCAGAAACTCACCTGGGCAGGTTTGGAGCTGGTGTGGAGGTCGGTGCTTGGGACGGAGGTGTCTCAGGCTGTGAAGACTCGTGGTTGCGTGGCACCTTGCCCATCCGGTACCAAATGCCCATGTTGTTCAGCTCCCTGCGAGGCCGACACAGAGGACGTCAACACTGCGGGCAAATGCTGCACACGTGCACAAGTATCAAGCACTGACATGCTTCACAAACACCTTGGTTAGTGAGAACCAGTCTAACTGGGGAAAGTGGATTAGTTAATTCCTACATCAAACTCAGTAATGCCTGAGGTAGACTTTTCAAATGACAAGCTTCAGCTCTTACAAACCACTACTCAGTAATTACAGGAAAAGAGGGTGCGCAGCTCTGGTACAATGGGATTTATGACAGCAACATCTGGAGCGAGGGGCACTCACCCTATGAACGTGTACTGGGGAGGGGCTTGTTTCGATCTGCCCAGGATTCGGATATCACAGATAGCTGCCTCGGTAGAATCTCGGGGGATGAATTTAATGCACAGCCTTTTCTTTCTGAAAGCTATTTCTTCTGCAAAAACAACACAGGACACAGGGTGGTTTTGAAGTATAAATGTTATTTACAGTCTCTGTAGATATTAAGCAGATAATTATGGCAGGAACTGCTGCCCAAGAATGACAATACATGTCAGCACAGCAGACAGCGCAGTGCCATTCAGCAACTGGAGGAATCTTCCATCAGGACCTCTTTGTACCTTGTGTGATATTTGTTAGTAGGCACTGCGATAAACGAACACTCCTCTGCAGAGACCAGACACGATGTACACCACCGAGCACCGAACCACAGCACAGACATGGCACTGGTTTTTCCACTTCCACACACTTCTGGCATTCGCTTTCCCTTCCCAGGGTAAGGTTTGCCTCACCCCCCGGGCAGTTCTATCTCAATATACCCTACAGCATCACCTCTGGGAACACACCTCGAAGGGGCCAGCACAACCAGTCACTTTATTCTGCCCAGTGCTCCCAAACATCCCCCCAGAGCAGGAGCACCAGAGATCCAGGCTGCCACGCAGGGCAGCTGATCGCAAAGGCTGTGTGCCCAATTCTCGTGCATCCAAAGCATTAATGACCCCTCCTGGCTTGCTCAGCAAACCCTGAAGTGATGCTGCCACCGTGCTGCCCTGGTGTCTGTGCAGGGATAACCCAGATTTCCAGAGCAGCCACTGCTGGCTCCTCTAGGGGCTGTGCGGTCAGAGGTGGTGACACTGCAGCATGCCCTCCCCCACTGCGCAGCATGGAGCCACTTCACCAGTTCTCACGGTATTCACCAATAACAACCCCAGCCCACCTAAGCTAAGGCTCATCTCTAGCATGAATTTGTGTATATGCACACTCTGAGGCGGATAAAATCCACACCCTGCCCTGGGCTGGTTGTGTGATGCCAGGAGGCACCAGCACACAGAGACCATGTGTGGTGCTTGAAACTATTGCTGTGTCTCACACCCAAGAGCCCACGACAGCCTCAGAGGGAGCAAGGTGGGGTTTCCATTTGTGAATGTGGGTTGAGAGACACAACAGAAATCTATTGATAAACTGAAAATCTAAAGTGCAGACACTGAATGAAAATCTGGAAACAACCAACAACTACAAACAAGCGCCTGCAAAATAAAAACCCTTCAGTTTAACATGAATAAATATCCTGCAGCTTAAAAATATGCTCTCACTCCAACAGATGGCAAGCAGCCCTGTCTCTATAGGCTCCTCCTGTTTCATAACTGCACCTTGGAGAAAGCAATCCATCCTGGCCTCCGAAACGTGCTGTCGCACCAGTGCCAGTGAGCGCGCAGACAGTGCGAGGTGTGCCCCTAAACAGCATCTGTGCATGCAGTGCTGCAGTCACAGGGCTGCTTTTGGGAAGGAAAATACCTGTATCCCTGACGTCCAGGCTTCTCCTGCCTTGGAAAACAAGGGCCTAAATTTGAAGTGCCTAAAATTGATCTTAGGAGCACCGGGTTTAAGGCTTCCACATCTGAGAATTTTCTCTGAACCTCATGAGCAGTATTGTGTTAAATGTATTTACTACACGTCAGAGAAGAGCACAGAAACACGTATAGCCACAGATTTAACTCTGAACAAAATCACTGTGCTTATTTGACTTTCACAGTACGTAAAAGCTGACTGTCTGCTTTTGTCTCTGGTCTTTTTCACACTTGGCTAGAGTCTGCAGCAAACTCGGGTTAGGAGCTGGATTCATTAATTACACATGCTTACCCAGAGTTAATTTTAAGTAAACATATTATAAACAGTCAATCGAAACGTGTTCATTCATGCTAATGGAAGCAAGGATATGCACCACTTCATTAATACAGACAGTGCCTCTGCTTTAAAGATTGTATGGGTCACAATCCAATGCATTTTGAATTAATTACCCAGTGCCCTTGCACCTTTCTACCGGGACTCTCACAGGACTGCAGCAGCACACAGCAAGAGCTCAGTGCTCCAGCGGTGAGCAGGAGAAACCATCGACTGCCTTGGCGTCAGGCGTGCCCAGGAGCTCTGCAGGGAAGGGGTGAGCAGGGATCGGGTAATGCAGAGCTCCTCACTGCCCGCTCCCAGGTTCAACTCAGAGCCAGGCCAGCAGTGACAACCACCACCCTCATCCGCTGCCACCGGGGTGAGCCATTTCCTGCAGAGCACCCGAGGCCCACCTGACGCCTGCTGCAGCGCTGCCACCAGATGTGACTCCAGCTGCCACTGCTCAGGTCTCGGGGAATGCGGGGGCACTGTTTGGGAACCGCTGGATTCAACACTGCAGCAGAGCCACTGCTGCATGCAGAAACGAGGACTGTGTTTCCCTAGACATCTCCCCGTGCCCTCCCTCAGCAAGCACAAGCACCCCACCATCCCCAGCACTGCCTGCCAGGACACGGCCCTCGTTTGCTCACGGAGCACAGTGTAAAGCCTGAAGAGCACAGGAAAACCCACGGCTGTTTCACTGTAGTGCAGCGCTGCCCCCAGATGCGGGCACACAACCCCCAGGAGCTGCAGTGCTGAGCAGCTGCTCCCACAGCACAGACTGAAGAACAGACACCAACTTACGCGTGTCGATGGTCTCCTGGATGGGGATGAAGCCCACAGGCAAAGTGTCCTTGATATCAATGAGCTTCATATCGACCAAGACGTTGCCCAAGTGACTCTGGAGAGAAAAGAAACAGTTGGCGATGACAATGTCACGAGAGTTAAACCCAGCTTTCCTCATCAGCTGAGCCCCAAGACACCCTGTCATCTGTACCTGACCATCAGCTTTAAAAATGGTGAGGAGGCACCAAGCCAGCACCTGAGACTGTCCCCTCTGCAGGAGCTACGTGATGATGGGCTGGAGGGTACAGGACAACACTGACCTATCTCACACCTCATCCGCTGCCGTACTGATGGATCCCAGGAAGCACACCCAAACTCTTCCCTTTGGAAACACGGCAGTTCAACCTCCGCCAACCCATGCCCTCACTGGTCACCTCAGTACTCACACACCACATCGACAGCAGCAACATGGCATTTCTGTGCCAGCAGCAGCAGAAACCATTCCGGGAAGATGGTTCATGCAGACACAGCCAAAGTTATTATATGCATTAGCTAATTAGTACTGAACAGACATGGTTCTAGCTCCAAACACAGGCGCACTCCAGAAGAGCGGGCCATTTGGAACTAAGAACTTCATTTGGAGTCCATGTGAATGCTGAACTGATGCCTCGTCCTATTAATCAAGGCTTGAAGAGCTCAAAACGCAATTCAGAATGACAGCCTCCACAATTGTTTAGAGACCAGATTTTCTTTGCAGTTCTCATTAAAGCCAGCATTGCTGCCAATAATCTGGATTCATGTATGGAAGACAAACGCACTTTAGTTACTGCACAGCCTTTATAAACAGAAATGCAATACAAAACAATTAAAATTTCATCCTGAGCCATCAAACCATGTCAGTGTGCTTTACTGGTTGCTAAGTGCCTCCTTTAGTTTTTATCTGGCAGAGTATTTCAGGCAAACCTCTACTCTCCGATTATCACACTGAGCTATTTTAAAACATACTTACATTTTCAGCCTCTGAAATAAGGGGAGATCAGGTCTGGGTGTAATTTTTGGAGGGTCTGCATTTCACAGTCAACCCCTCACCAGGAGACCCCTGCACCTGCAGCGCTGTCCCACACCCACAAGCAGGGCACACGGGTCCTGTGTCCACACAACGCGGCTGAGGTCCAGCAGCCCCCATGCCCCATCCCCGCTTTGGCCAGGGTGTCTCCAAGGGAGCAACGCCAGATGCTGCGAAGCCCGAATGTATCGATTAACGTGGTCCTGGCTCAGCAAATGGCAGATGAAGCCACTGCCGATTCATCTTCCATGTTTTAAGTACCCACACTGCCTGGCTGTGTTACACCAGTGTGCACCTCCAGCTGCACCACAACCATTCCTCCACAGACAGCAGGCAGGAGAGGTGCTGTGGTACAGCCGCTAGCACCGAAACAACCGGAGCCAGCACTGATGCTCTGCCACGAGCATGGGAGAGGAGGGCACAAAGCCTCTGCGTTGGTGAGCTGCGCCACTCGGGGCCTCTTCACCACGAGACCCAAAATCCAGCAACATACTCATAACCTGTCCAGTACTGTGAGCTGTGGAGAATGGCGACTCTGATAAAGAGACAGTGCAGACTCCATCATAAACCAGGTGTCTGAGGTGCATTGGCTCGGCTAATTACAACACATTCTTCAGGACAGAGCTCCCAGGGCTTTGTTACGAGCAGAAGCAGCAGCTCCACACCGGTGCTGGACACGGGAGCTCTGCCCGCAGCTCCCGCAGGTCCCACACGCCCCCGGCACAGGGCTCAACCTGGGCACAGGACACAGCGACTTGCACTACACCTCACCCACTGGGACCACATCCTCCCCACGCTCCCTTAACTTACTCCTCGTCAATAAGGAACATATTCCCAAACCACACTGAGCAGAGGGTTCCTGCCAAAACCCCAACAGGCACCGACTGAGGGCATTTACACATCACGGGTAGCCAGCAGCTGCAACTATCCTGTAATTATTTCTGACAACCTCCCATTTTGGGCAGCCACAGATAAACTCAATACTCAAATCATCACAAACCTTTGTTTCATACCCTCCCTGCCTATTCTGGGGCTGTTATTCCTGCTACTGTAGGTACTGCAGGATGAAAAGCACAATTATTGTCCATCCACCCCAGGAAGCGATATTTCCCTTAGCTCTGGAGCTTTGTTTGAATGTGGAGGCAGGCAGGGAAGCGGATGGAATAAAGGTCAAACACTGGAAATGGGCAGCCCCCAGCTTTCCTGTCACCACCCGTGATCAGCCTCTGAAGCCACAGTCACTTTTCTGTACAAAATGGTATTTCCATGCCGTGACAACCGAGGCACTGAGAATGTCCAAAACACAACCAAAAGCAGGATTACCCACTAGATGGAGTGCAGTCATTGCAGAATTGAGCAGTTCCTCCAGAAGAAAGGGAGCTTTCACACAAGTCTCAACCAAAAACGCAGGAGAAGGCATCAAGCTCTGACTGTACACGGTCCCCTCTCCTCCACCCAAGATAAGAGCAGACACCGCCACTAATCAGAAATTAACTTACGCTTACTGGCCGCACCAGATGACTGCAAGACATGGGCAAATTCTCAAGAATCAGCACCATAAACAACAAAGAGAGAAAAGCTAAATCTGCAAGAAAATCTCTATGATGCCCCTGGAATCAGAAAGTAACATTTCCTTCATCAGCACTACCTGCAGCATTTCCTTCTCTGGGTAATTAGAGCCTGAAATTCATCAGGAACATGAGCATGCAGTGCCCACTGCTACAGGAGGAAACACCAGCGTGAGAGGGCTGCTGAAATGCAAGCATTCCCTCTGCTGTTGCTTTTTGCATATTTTGCCAGCAATTTTTTTCCATGAAGAACACAGACAAAATGCAAATATCCAGTCAGTGCAGTCTGTCTCCTCACTCACCCAAACTCAGTGCAACGCCTCCTTGAATTATAATTGGCTCCATAAAATGAATCACCTTATGGACAAGAGCATACCAGGCACGGATGCAAATCATGCAGACACTCGGCAAATGAACTTACATTTTCTTTAGAAAATGATCTGGTGAAGCACAGGTACCGTGTGACCTTGGATTTAAACAAGCCATCTTTCCAGAGGTCAGCATCCAAGCCATCTGCTGTTTGTGCAACCTGGAAAGCAGAGACAGAGGGAGAGAGAGACACGTGAGATGAGATAAAGTTAATATATGTGCAGTACTTCTTCCTCAGACCTCTCCTAATTAACGGTAGCCCGAACTCTCACAGCATCTCATTAGTTTCTTCACAAGGTACAGTGCAAAGAACTTCCAGAGAAGGCATAAAAAGAAGTTCTAAAAACACTGCCTCTTGGGAGCCCGTTGATTAAAGACGCTCTGACAAAGGCTGCTCTAATGAGGAAACAGCAACTTCAGCTGCAGTCTCCACACAACAGTTTGGGAAAGTCAGCACATCCAGGCGCTCATTACCACCCCAAGCAAGGGCACTGGGGCAGGCTTTGAGGAGGGGTCTGCAGACAGAGTACAGGAACTGCCCAACCTCAGCACTATTTTCACAGAAAAGCCCCCAGGGAATCCTGGCTCCCAGGCCAAGAGGCTGTTCCAGCCGCTGGGACAGTCCCAGGCCCTGGCAGACATTAGCGGCAGCGCTGCAAACAAGGATGCACCCTGCAAACATCCATCTCCAGTGTGACCCTGCGCCTGCTGAATCAGTGCACGTCCTGCATGGCGGGCAAAGGAAACGGGGCTGGGCCTGACCGACGAGCCGGGGGCATGGCAGGAAGAGAAGGGCAGGAGATGTCAGCTCAGAGCAGGCACAGGGCAGCGCCATGCCCAGGGAAAGGGCCCTGCTCTGTCAGAAGCCGGGCGCTTCTCCCGCATGGTGCAAACTGATGCAGGCCCTGTCCTGAAGCTTTGAGGTTCAGTGAGAGTGGAGACAAGGCAGCAAACACACAGGGCAGCCGAAATAGCATCACCCCACCAACCAACGTCCAGCTGGTGGCTCCAACAGGAGACTGCAGCGTGATCTGAGGCACACAGACACGGCTGAACTCCTGCCCCATGCCCTGCAGACGACAGACCGCTCCAAGGCCGAT